CATACAAAAACGATGCTGCTTTGAGACCGGTTGGTACATTGTCAACATAAATTGTTTCATCCATGGCGTTTATTGAGACTCGAGTTGAGCTTTTGATAACCTCCAGGATATTTTTAGCTCTCGTGAATTTTTTATCCTCCATTATTTGCAATTGTAATAGAATGCGTTCATAGTTTATTTTATTATCCTTTCGCTCCTTCTCATCCACAATCCGCTTCTCCTCTTCCTCCCCACCTTCCTGATATTGATTAGTTTCATCTTCTGTAAGAAGTCCTGTTGATTGTTCCCCAGGGTCAACAATAGGCGTTGAGGGAGGTGTTGGTGGAAGGGGTAGTGGAAGAGTTTCAGTCGATACTGAATTTTGCTTCGTGGGTATTAGAGGTCTCATGCGGTTCAAGTAAGATAACTGGGGCTTTTTGTGTTTAATTGAGCTGTTAAATAGCACTTGTGATGCATGCGGTTGCTCACGGATATATGTATGTTTTGGAATTAAAACAAACTCTTCTGCTGCCATATTTTATGCCGATGGTAAGTATCTGTAGCAGAAGTAAAGTATCAGTCTGATCAAGTTGAAACCTTGTTTCGTTAGAATAATTGCTCGTTTTCGTTCAAGTTTTGTTTTTCGGCTGATTAAAAGTTTGTATGCCACTTCGAAATTTTCAATGTTTGGAATATTAACAGATACATTGCCATTGACTACATTGAGCAAACATTCACATATATCTGAAATAACTTGAGGATTTGTTGTTTTTCTAATGAAGCTTCGGAGCTGGCTGGGATTCAATTGTACCATGTGCTGCAGAATAGATAATTTTTTCGCGTTCATTTGTGAGAGGTGTAACCTCTGCCTGATTTATTGGTAAGTAAAAAATTGAGGGACCAGGTGGTGTAATGTTTGAACAATATCTCAAACAATCGGATGTACGCGGATCCAAGTCGATTAAAAGATGACCGTATGTGTCTTTTGTAGCGAGCTGATAACAGTGTCTCAAAAATTTAGTGTTGTTCAATTGTCTTCCAAGATGATCAAGTTGCTGAATATCACGAGGTGATTTGAACAGAATGATGTGTGATGTGTTTAAATCAATTGTTCGAGACCATCTGCTTTGTTGGAACAAATTATGTTTAACATATATTACATCTAGTCCTCGGTGTCTTCCTGCTGTTGCAAGTTTGACAAAGTCTTTATCGTTATAGATTTCTTCGCATGAATCATCAAAAACTAGAAGAATGTTTTCAAGGTTTCGCAAACTGTCAAAGCCATTGAATTTTATGAAAGTTAGATCAATGCTGTGGGTATTGGATTTTTCACTATAAAGAGGCTGAATCTCTTTGTAAAAGTATAGGGCTCTTTGAAATTTGGGATAAAATGTTTTTCCTTTCAACAATTTGAATATCAGCTCTGTTTTTCCAGAACCCGAGGGGCCCACGATGGCTAAAAAAAGTCTCGTAGATGTATCAATAACTTTATTCATATTCTTGGATTTGGTAATACATAACCAACTAAACCCGATAAAATTGAGAACCAAACTGAGGTTTCTTCACAAGTTAACTGCGTTAATGAAAGTTTACAGATACAAAAAGCCAATAAAATCAGAATTAACACCATTTGTGACATGAAAACCACTTCAGATTGTGGTACAGTCACGTTATTGCAAAATTTCCATGATTTTTTCTCCATATGATTTTCGTCATACACAAAATCGGTAACTATAGTTCCATCAGTCTCGTCAACTACCGTGTCATTCATTTCAATTTCCCTACCGCTTTCTCTCACTCTCGAACTTGCAGAATGAAAAATATATATCATATATAAGAAAATTAATTGAGCATCTGAACAGTAATAAATTTCATATCGTGTATAACCTGTATAGACACTCGGTTTATTATCATCATCAAAATCATAGTGCATTTCCAAAACATAATTGGCTGGGACATGATCAGTTTTGGCATGATACACAATTTTCTTCACAGAATCTTCTCTTATTATTTTTTGAATCTCATTGGGTAGTTCACTGCTGGTTAGATCCATTTGAACTCCTGGTTGACGTTTGGGCACTAAGACTAGCTTGGGAAGACAAAGACCGCGCTTGCCGGTAACATTACTGATGTATTTGAATAGTTGAATGTAGATGAATTGGCCAATCACGGGGAAGAACCTCCTCAAAGTGCACAACTCTTCTTCAGAAAGTGTAACTTGTTCTTTTCCTTGAACTACTTGGCCTCTACAATCAAGGCGTTCAATCCTGGTCAATGAAATCTTTATGTTACTTTCTGGTGTCATCCAAGCAGAAAGAACTGAATTTGGAGATATGTATGTCTCCACTTTCCCCTGACGCTCGTTGTTGACACTCATTTTTCAACCAATCAAAGAACGCTTTCGACTTTTTTTAATGCACAATGATTTTTAGAGTTATGGTGCGGTAGGTGTTTGTTACAATTCACAAAATTCTTGAAATATAATTGTTCGACTCGTGGACAGCCCAAATCGTCAAGATTCACAACTTTGCGGTCTAAGTTTTTGGATAAAAAATCAGCTTTTTCTTTTCCTTTGGCGTAGAATACAGCATTGGGGTTTCTTAAGACAAAACTTTGAATGATTTGGTTCAAATTCAGGTATAAATAATCACCGCTATCCCAATGAAGTCCGTGCAAATAATTTGTCAGCCAGTTGTAGGCTTTTTGTTCAGATTTTGGAAGGGAATTGAAATTAACTGGAGGTAGAAAAATTAGGGAATCACTGTAGTCGGAAGTTGTTATAGCTAATTCTTTTACTATAAATGTGTTTTTCTGGTGTCGAAATCCCTCAAAATCCAACACAACTGATTTTTCCTTCAGCATTCTAATAAATGGTAAAGTTTCGGTTTCTTCAGTTTGATATACAAACAAAACGTAATTCCACTCAAGTGACCAATCAAACTACTGTTGCATTTCCATGGTAAAACATAGCAGTATGTGGGACCAGTGTTATAAACTTCGCGGAAAAAACCGGCGGCATCGTGTAAAATAGCATGCATTCGTAAAATTTTCGAATCATTTAAATGTTTATCCAAAAAAGAATTGTCTACACCGATCAGACCCCCATAGGGTCTCAACTTGATAGCAACATCGTAATTTATATCATTAGTAGTTGAGAAGAAGAACAGTGAACATGCAGCTAAGAAATAATTTCGACGGTTGGTGTTTTCCGGATAGGTTTTTTTCAAAGTAATAAAAATTTCATGAATAATTTCCAAGTCTTCTGAAGTAACTCTACGTTTTTCCAATTTCATTTTTTTTTTCCAGCACTTCTCCGACCTGCTGAATTTCAAGCCAGTGGAAATGAAAGTAACCTTCTAGATACCACTTACTCACTCCTATTTCTAACTAATGATTTCAACCTATTTTCATGTGTTTAGATGGATATTCCCCTTGGTGGTCTCCACGAGTCACCCATTGATTTGCCTTATGTGGGACCTGGAACTCACGAAGGCAAAAATATCTTTGGTGTGACCGTAGAGTTTACCCCGGCCACCACTGCAGCGAATTTTAAGCTGCATTACATTGAGGTTGCATTTGAGAAAAAGGAGAGCATATTTGAATATGTGTGTGTTGATGTGGGGAGCATGGAAAATTTCTGGCTGTGCGAGTCTCTGGGTGCGGGATTCGAGAGTACTGAGTGGCGCTTCAAATTTCAAATGGAGCGTCTAGTCAGTATTCTTCATGTCCCTTGGTCGGATCCCGAAGACGACATGCGGATGTGGCCGTAAACCCTTCCTCTGCTCTCCTATCCGTACTCCTGTCAACATTCCGTTTTTATTTTATTTTTTTCTTTTTTTTTATATGTTACTTTATCTATTATTTATCAAGTCCTCTTTACCTTCTTACCCTCTTATTATTTGTCACGTCCTTCCTCCTTCTCAAGCAGGTCAGTTTTTTAATGGGGTCTCAAACTTATTTAGTTGAACAGTGGGAAAGTTTGGAAGAGATTAAATTTAACCACCGCGCGAAAATAAATACCAAAGTATTTTGTCTGTCGGGTGTCCCAAGAGAGGGGTCTTTTTATTTCGGGCAGGGTACTTTGGGGTCTTTAAAAAAGATGGGTCCTTTTGGACCCTACTTTTGGTAGGACCCCAAAGACCCCTTCCGTCGAAAAGACCCCCCCCCCCTAAGGACACACGGCGGATTACAATACTACTTCTAACGAAAAGACTAACCGGTGCATTTTATAAGCAACAAGACTGCTCGTATCAGGGCGAATCACTGAATGTTCCGACTGCCTTTTAAGGTTTATGGAGCAGTAAAAGCATTAAAAAATTCAATGAAATGAAACAAAATGAAAAACTTTTTTTTCTCTAAAATTTGAAATTTTTAAAGAAAATCATCCCCCCACACGCCATTTAAAGTACAAAAGGATAGATTTCGCTCCTTTCAACAAACCAATTATGGCAAATAAAGTTCTTTTAACCAATTTGGAACGATTTCTAAGACGTATTAAATCTCCGCTTACGCGTTAATAGCGCAAAATATGTCGTCCCAAATTGGCCAAAATGACAATTGTTAAACCCCCGTAACTTTACGAAAAATGATCACAGGTGAAATGTCTTTCCAAATTTGAGCTCAGGACAACAATACTTTTCGAATGATATTTAAAAAATCCGTCAAAAATGGCTAGTTAAAAAGTCGAATATTGTCTGAAGAAAAAAAACCCACCCCGAGCAGAAATATTCCGTTACTTTCGTATCGAAAGTCGGAGCAAAAACGTTTGAAGATGCTGTTTATCAGCTTTTTATATACGAAAATTCACATATTGCTAAAATTTGCGGCCCGATTATATGCCTTTCGAATAACTTGAGAATTTTATGCCTTCATGAAATTTGAATTATCGAACGAGCACTTTTTTATTGGCATGCATGAATATAGAACTAAACGGTCGTTGTCAATTGTACTTTTTTGGTCCCAATTTAAACAATTCTTGACTCACTCGCACTTTTAATTCAGTCTCAATTCAAGTGAAAAAATTAATGTCAGTTTATATTTATATACATATGCTGAAATCACTATCCCAAAACATAATTCATCTGATTATTAGGTTTTTCCATTAACTTAAATAACGACTAAATCCGATTTGCGCGTTAAATCTGCTTGTATTTTAGAATCAATTAGTACATAAGCAGAATTTACTTAATTCAGGATTTCTCCCCGTCTTTGCTTAACGTGAATAATGTTTGCTTAACCATCGCTGAAATAGTCATTTATAGGAGGCGGAAAGGGGGTTCTAAGAGAAATCCCAAAAACACTAAACTCTAGCACCAACTAATCAGTTAGTCATGTGATTGTATAAACTTCAGTATGTTGCTGATATGTTGAGTCATCAGTGGGTGTTGTTTGTGTGAGGACTGCAAAGGGACCACCAATTTTAATATTGAAGATTCCAGAGGATCGTTCAGCTGCTTTTTATCTGAAACAGAGGACCAGAAAAACTAAAGCAAAAACCACTGAATTATCACAAACATAGCCAACAGACATGCTCTCAGAGCTCTTTGTTTAAAAAAAAACATATGTGACTGAAAAGTTTTGATAAAATTATCCCAAATTGAGAACATAGCCAACTGACAGTTGGAAAAGAGTAATCAACGCAAGGAAACTAAGAAAAAAAACGACTTGCTTTTTCAAAAATCTTTAACTTTTGATTTTCGAATAAAAATTACATGGCATTAAAGCTCTTTGAATTTATAGAACAATTTATGATGGACACTTTTTAGTTAAAATTAACCCAATTTGAGAAAACTGGATGAAAAGGTAAAACTTATATTTCGCTGGGAAATCTGATCATTTTCAAAATTAGAAGTCGATACAATTTCACTGTTGCAGTAACTTAAAAGAAATGCAGTGAACTTAAAAAGAAATCACAAGTCAAACAGCGAAAAATCATAACTTAGCGTGAACAAATTTTACGACTTTTTCCTGAAAAAATCAGCAAGAACTATATAAAAGTATCCACTACGTTCATCACTCTTAAAAAATGAATCACTAAGTAACTTTTTCATTTCCACCGGGAAATCTAAAAATTAAAATCCATTTTTGAAACAAGAAGTAATTCACGTTTTTTGCCATCACTAAGTTCACCGACACTTAATATCGATACACAGTTTTATCAAAACACAATTTTGTAGTTCAAAGTAGTAAGAAAAATCCTTGATCCTTCAACAACAAACTCGTACACCAGCGGAGAAGGTAAGAAAGAATAAATTTTTCCAGTATTAAAGTTCATTTTGATCATTATAGAGCTGTAGTTTTGAACTTCCTAAAATGTGAATAGTTTTAGGCTGTATTAGAAAAAAAACAAATTGTTAGAGTTCAATCGCTCAATACTAGTTGACTTTAAACGATTCTCACATAAAAACACCTAAAAACAAGGACAGCCGATTAAATTTGCCAACCAAATGCTTACAAAAAACTACCTTAATACTTTTTCATTTTAATGTAGTTTTAGTGAGTGATGTGATAAAAAGAACTGAATTAAAGCCTAGATTTTGAGAAAACTACCCAGTCAAAGTAAAACAGGCAAACTGAACAATAGCTTTTGTCGAGAAATGACTAGAAAAATAACATTTCACCAACAGACAGTTGGAAAAGTCAATGAACGCATGGGATTTTTTTAAAAAAGCAGTTCTTTTTTGAAAAGCTTCATTTTTCGAATTCTTAAAAAATTATATGGCCCGGAATCTCTTTGAATTCCAAGATTAATTAATGACTGACATTTTTTTGATAAAATTATCCTAGTTTGAAAAAACTTGATCAAAAAGTAAATTTTTTTATTCCGCTGGGTTTCGAAATTGAAACCAACTTTCGAAACTAGAAGTCGATCATGTTTTTCTTTTGCTGTTCGATAGTGGAGTTCGCCTTCTTATAACAAAGAAAATGCACTGAACTTTAAATCAAACAGCGAAAAATCAAACCAGAGCCTGAACTCTAATTTTTGGCCGGAAAAGTTGGTAGAGTTCAGGCTCTAGTTTGATTTTTCAACGTTTGATTTTTTTTTAAGTTCAGTGCATTTCCTTTGTTAAAAGGAAGGCAAACTCCAAAAAATCAAAAATCATCGCGACCTATAAAAAAGTATTGAATACGTTTATCGACTCATTAGAAATTGAAAAAAAAAAATCTGCAGAAGTTTTTTTCAACACTGGGACAACTTTTCGGAAAACTTTTAATGTCGTTCATATTGCCACTGAAAATACTTTTATATGATTTATCACTCGACTCACTCCAATATTTATTTGTGACACCTGCTTTTGCGTGGAAAAAAACTAAAACATCCAACGACAAAGTTTCTCCCCATTTTCAATCGAGGGGTTAAAGATAAAACTTTTGCCTTGTGTCGGAGTCAAACATCCGACATGAATATTAGACATCTCACGTCCTCGCATCTGCGCCACGATAGCTTGAAAATACACTATAACTAACCAGCAAGGAAGCAACTACTAAATTGCCGACACTAGGCATGAAAACAAAGTGCCGCCAAAAGAGTAATTTTTTTAAATTTAGAGCTAGTTTAGAAAAAAAAGAAGGTGCATAATAATACACTACGCTGATCGCTAGAGTAAACATAGCCATTCGAAGATTGGAAAAGAGTAATGAACGCAAGTTAAACATAAAAAATCTCAACTTTCGAATTTCAAAGAAAAAATAGATGCCCTTTAAGTTCTTTGAATTTCTAGAACGATTCATGATTCGCGCTTGGTTGATAACATTAACCCAACTTGAGGAAACTGGATCAACAGGTAAAGTTTTTATTCCGCTGGAAATCCTAAGATTAAATTCAACTTTTGAAACTAGAAATCTTTCACGAATTTTTGCGCCATTTGTACATTCGCGTGTCAGGACATTTGTGTCCCAGACATTTATGTCCCGGCAAAAACAGTCCAAAATGCAAAAAGTGTCCAAGACATTTAGTTCCCAGACAAAACTGTCCGAGCTGTTGCCAAACTAGTTAATGACCGGAGGGTATCAGTCGATGGAATTTTGATTCCTATTGTGTATGCATTGCTTCCAGACAAGAAAGAAGGAACGTATTTTCGCCTTTTGAGCTGCTTCGACATTGAATTGCCCAAACGAGCCGCCATTGATTTCGAAATAGCGGTCAAAAATGCGTTCAAATGAGTATTCGAAAATGTACAAATTCAATACTGCTATTTCCATTTGAGCCAAAGCGTCTGGCGTCACATTCAGTCTACTGGGAATACAAACAACTACAGACTAGATCTAGAATTCGGCGAGCATGTCCAAATGCTGCAGAGTATCTCTTTCCTCCCTGTAAGTGATGTTTCTACTGCTTTTGAAACTCTTCAGAAGACATGCCCTGAGACAGCCCACCCAATCTTCAATTATTTTGAGGACAATAACAATGGTCGGCTCTCGGCGGCTAATGGAACTCGTCAAAACCCCAGATTTGACGTTGACAGCTAGAGTTGTCATCAACGTGTGATAACCGGGCGACCCAGCACCAACAATGCTGTTGAAGGTTGGAATAGCAACTTCGTCAAGCTCGTGAACTGCAAGCACCCACCATTTCCCAAACTCAAAGAAAAATTTCAAGACGAACTGAAAAACGCTGAAATCTTGATCGAAAAAATGTGTGCCGGGCAAAGAGTGTCACGTTATAAAAAACCTCTTTATGTCAAACTTGACAAAAACCATTCCAAATTAGTTGCGGCCTACAACCCAACTAAACTTTTGAAATTCCTAAAAGGGTGCAGCAGCAACATCAAACTATAATTCAAAGTCAATTTATTTTCCAAGTTTGATATTGCGAAGCAATAATTTTCAATAAATTTTTCTAAGTTTAACTTTTTCCCAAAAATTTTCAAAACTGAGCTAGACCCGTTTTGAAAACGGTAAAATGATCAATGTAATCAAGCTTTTCCCATCCTCTTCTCTTTTGGCTCAATCAAGTCAACCCATTTCAACTTTGACCTAGTTTACCCAATTTTGGGTTTTTTAATTTCAAATATTGACTTAATTACGAAAATTTTTTGTCGGAGCCGAGATTTGAACTTCAGACCTTTTGACCTAGAAACTTATGACTTCATTTCTCGGCCAAATGCGCTTTAAAATTTCAAATTGTTCTTGAAAGTTTTGTCTAACTTTGACTGTTCTATGGCTAATTGGTACGCATGGAATCTAATTGAAGAGCAATCAAACAACCTCAAAAGAACAAAGCATTAAAGATCACAAGGTCAAATCAAAGAAAGTTCGCGAAACAGTTTCGGACAATTTTGTCTGGAACATAAATGTCTGGTACAATTTTATAATTTCGAACTGTTTTGTCAAGGACACGAATGTCTGGGAAACAAATGTCTATGCACCGTACATTCGTCTTGGAGAATACTATTTACGGTGTCCCACTCTTTAACCCTACGATATTTAACACCCTGTGTTTACACCCCCTATATTAAAACCCCGTAACATGATAACCCCACAACAATTTAACCCCCTTTTAATGACGATAATTTGTTTCAATTTAAGTCCTTAAGTACAGGAGTAGTCCAATTAAATTTACTAGTTGAGGCCTGAAAAGCTAGTCTCAATTCACTTGATGCCTCTAGCATCTCAAAACTAATTGCATTTCGATTAGTTAGAGAAATAATCCATCACTCACGCGTTTAAAACAGAGATAACCTACATGGTGCTAACTGAAGGCAACAAAAGACGTTTGTTAGTTTTATAAAAAATCATACTGCCTATTTCTTTAACCATTGTTATACCACTCTATCAGATCAGATAAAGTAAAATGGAAGCGTCATTCCATTTTACTTTATCTTTGACAAACAAACAAATGCTAGTGGTATCAGGCCACGAGTATTACCTTATACGGAAAAAAAAGACAACAAATTGGAACTGCTCGAAGTACCAAACCCATAAATGCCTCTTTTGTATGGGACTGTTTTTAGAACCTTTTTTTTGATGTTTCGGATTCTTTTGTATGAGAATGTTTTGTATGGGACTGTTTTGTATATGCACCAATTTGAATCATGTCGGTCGGATTCGTTTTCAAGCTCATATCAAAGTCTAGACTACCGGCAAGGTCATTTCTGTTCAAATCTAAAACGCGTAGATCAATTCTGTCGGCGCCAAAAGATTAAGGCCGAGAAATTCAAATGGTTTTGGACTGTTTTGTATGGGACTGTTTTTAGAACCTTTTTTTGATGTTTTGGACTCTTTTGTATGGGACTGTTTTGTATGGGACTGTTTTGTATGGGACTGTTTTGTATATGCACCAATTAGAATCAGCTCGGTCGGATTCGTTTTCAAGCTCATATCAAAGTCTAGACTACCGGCAAGGTCATTTCTGTTCAAATCTAAAACGCATTTAGCAGCGTGCATATTAACTCATTTTGGTTTGCAAATTTTTTCGCAATTAAAGCTTTGATGTTTACCGACGATATGGTTCCGAATCCTTTTCAAGTAAGTTTCACTTTGATTCTAGCAATTGATTTTAAAAAGGGGTTAAATTGTAGTGGGGTTATCTAATTTCGGGGTTATATGAGAGGGGGTTAAGAAAAAGGGGGTTACAAAACACGGGGTGATAAGCTTGGGAACCGCTATTTACGTCACTTTCAGCAGATGAATTTCAGTTGAACTCAAAAAAGTGCATCAATATTTTAAGACTTTCATCTGATCAGCAAGACCTATAAAAGAGTCTTCACTACATTCATTACTCTTAAAAAGATTTATGAACTATTTATTGGTAGTTGAAATAGAAACTATAAATAGTCGGCGTTGTCATGGTAGACTGAAATTCAGGTGTTTTTCGCTATTAGCAATCAACACATTAACCTTAGTTCATTCCAACTTCCGCAAGTCTGCGGGGGGGGGGGGGGGTTTGGTTGAACTTTGAAATAACTTCTTCGACTGACCTGCTTTCGACACTATTTGTGCTAGCAGAGACAGGAACACTGTTCTGAGACTATCTGTTGTGATCACAGCTGAAACATTAAAGCGTAAGAGGTTGAAAAAAGGGCGAAAAACTGCATGAAAAATCTCGATTGCGCCGCATACGATATATTCTACGAGCTTATTGGTACGATTATTTGCCACGAGGTAGCAAAAACAAATAAACTCGAATACAATAAGTGACCAATTGCATGACAAAGCTACTTTGTCAAATAAACTTCGTGTTTCAAAATAGTCTATAGCTTCAATCTTACGGGCATTCTTTTCCTTTTCAAGATTCAAGAAATGTGCTTTTTACTCAACTCTGTCTGTTTGATTTTCTTCCTATTGCCGATCATTCTGTATTCGAACATTTTTGCAAAACGCCCATCAGTCAAACTTGTTTCGTATGTAATAACACTACACTATAATCTTACTTGAATATGCTTCGGTCAATTTCTCAGCCAGCTTAAGCCAAACTGTAGAATACTCTTCACAGCTATTCCCATCCATATCAAACTTCTTCCAGATCGATTCCAGCGAATCGATTCCTACTTTGACCGCTGTTTTGTCCCCACATTTGTGCAAATATTCCATAAATATGTCGCATATAGTCTGCATGAGGGATGTAGATATTAAGTAGTGGTCTTTTCCAGGAAAAGCAGAAGCCAGTGCCTAGAGCAGCAATGTCCAAACTTTATGAACAAATGAAACTTTTTTCCTATACTAGTGGGCAGATAATGAAACCAGTAAATAAATTTCAATACAATGGTTTCATTAGAAAATGCATATTTGAAAACGCACACTTACCTTTCCGCGGAATCCCTTATTTACACAACCCACTTCAACTACTCTGCAGTACTTAATTCGTAACATTTTTTGCGGTTGGACTTTTTTTGTAAAAAAAGGCATTTTTCATTGCGGAGAGTTCAAAAATATCAAGCGTCCCGCATTTCGGATCAATTTTGATTCACCACATTCCAAAAACGACTAAAAAAATTTCGTAAATATCAATATTTAAATGAAGTGTTGTATTTTGATGCATACTTGAAAAAATACTTTCGTTTTCAACTTAAAATCAATTTCATTTTCAACTTTAAGTTTCGTTTTCAACTTAAAAAAAAATAGTTTCGTTTTCATATTTTCGTTACCCCTTAAAAACAGCGTATTGTTCGAAAACTTTAGGCAAAAAATTTGATGGTATTCAATTCCGGTGTGGTCTCTTTAGACCCTCCTAATTTGGAGGGTGTGACCGAATTATAAGGGGGCGGAGGGTCTACGAAGAAGTAGATTTGTGCTGCGGGGTCCCGACAGAGTAGCGCGGAGTACCGAATCTCCGCAAAGGAACTATGAATTCGCGCTTTTGAGGTCGCATTTTTTCAAGATGTTTTCTCGACATTGATCTAGTAATTAATTTCTCTGCTTTGAAATTGAATATACAAATCTCTCGCCTGGATGGTTTGTTTCTGTAACTTGATCAGAGGCACTTTTGCATTTGATGAGTCGTTACTGTCATCGTCAATTCTTCTGTCTTCCTTCGCAGAGAAATACTTCTGAAAAACGATTCCAACAATAAAAAATTGAATAGATGAGTGATGTTTTCTTCACATTTAGTCGTATGAAAAACTTTCAGATACGACATACAAGTTCAAGTAAATCTGACAATTCAATGTTTTAAAATAACAGACATGGCATGCGGCTAATTCAACATTGGGATTCTGATTCAAATCAAACGCAACGGCTCTAGCAATGGAAATTTCGTACAGCAGCCAACACAAACATTAAGTTTTCCAATTAGTCACTGCAAAAAGTTGCCGAAAACGCCAGCACTTTTTCTGGAAACCTTCCAATTCTTTTACAAAACAAATTGGATTAAAGCGCCTAAAAGGAGAATTAAAAATTAAGAAACCAACCTGTAGTTTCTCTGCAGATAATTGCACAACTCGCTCTAGGTGGGTATGGTCCATTTGAAAGTGGTAAGTGAGAGAGGCCACACAAGCGACACAAGCACAGTCCAAGTGTCGGTCCGTGGTTCTACTCCATTGCTGATACACTATGTCCCAAATCTAATTCAAAAAGACACATTCCTCAGAAAAAGCAGACGAGACAATTTTTTGAATTACCTTTTTTTTGAAGGCGGTTTTTTGTACTAAGCAAAACGTATTTGATTACAATTGCTGCTTAACATCATGTCATTTTTTGCTATCAAACAATTTGAAATGGTCGCCCACATACACAAGCCAATAGCACATTGATTTCACCATCAACCGACGCAATATGAGTAGACTAAGCCGATATATGAATCGATAAGCCTACATATTTTATACCAAATAACGCCAAAAACAACTGAGGCAGACCATATCGGAGTTGGTAAATATACGACCTATATAAAAAAATCGAATAGAGAGAAATCTTAATTGTTAACTATTCCCCCTCCACTATTTCGATTTTCAGAAAGTCAACTTTAAATGACACATTTTAAAAAATTTACACAATTTTCTGTTAAGTAACATTTAAACAGTGAGAAATACCATTACGAACGCACCAAAACGAAAACCAAATTAATTGCTGACATTTTTTAAATGCATATCTAAAAAGAAAGGGTTGTCAGAAACAAAAAATATTGCACGTTATATGTGATAAATAGTTAACAAGGTTCGATTGAGGTAGGGTAGTTAATAAGATCCGGAAAAATTATTGAAAATGTAAAAATTTAAATCTACGTTGTAGACGAAATCACAGATTCGACTAAATGCTTCAAGATTTGATGTTAAACAAGTCGTTAACCTGAAAAAAAACCTACCTCCGATTTGATAACACCTGCTAATCGCCAGCGTAAAGATTGCTTTTTTAATAGAAGTGAAATTGGACTTCAGAAACAAACACGCTAAATTGGCAAGAATTAGCAACAAAACGGAAAAAACATATATAGCCAACAGACAGTTGGAAAAGATTTAACGAACGCAAGGAAACAAAAAAACTGACGTGTTTTTAAAAACTCAACTTATGACTTTCAAAGGGAAAATATATGACCTTGAGGCTCTTTCGATTTCAAGAACAATTTATGATTGAAATTTTTGTTTTGAGAAAATTAACTAAAATAAAGGAAGCTGGATCAAAAGATAAACTTTTTACTCCACTGGAAAATCTGAAAATTAAAATACAATTACGAAGTCAATCACGTTTTGCGTGACCTTTACACTTTTGCTATTCAATAGTAGAGTTTGCCTTCATCTTAAAAAGAAATCAAAAGTCGAACTGCGAATTATCAAATTTGAGCGTGAACAATTTTCAAGACTTGCCCTGAAAAATCAAAACAAAAAAATCATCACGACCAATCTAAGAGTCTTAAGTACGTTCATCGACATTTTAAAAAGTGTAAGTAAAAATTTTAATGAGCTACGAAAAAAGATTTCTACGAGAATTAAACCACTGTGGCCTCGAGAATCCAAGTCAACTACAGTACAGAACTGTTCTACTGACGCTTAAGGAACCGACTGAAACAGCGGAGAACACCTCTGATCGAACTAGCAATACTTCGCAGCAAAAATGCCACCAAAAATAAGCACTATAATATGCGTGTAGGATTGGAAAATAAATCGACTCGTTATATAAAATAATGCTTGCAAGCTGCTTGTGTAATGATATGACATTGCAATTAAGTTTAAGTTGTACTGCAAGCAAAAACCTGAAATTGACAGAAAATCTTGTCTCTCAGCCATTCGATGTTTTTTTCCAATCCTTGTAATTTAACACAGATAATTTTGCTACACTGTTAAAGCTGAATTCTATAAACAACACACAAACCTCTTCTTTTGTATGACGCATCTCTTCAGGATGTTTGATGATCAAAGTTGCACTTGATTCGCAAACAGACCCCAACGCCTTCACAACCAACTCCTTCCCTCTCCAGAACCGATTACCACTTGCATTACTAACCAGCAGCTTCACTAATTTATTAACCATCTGAGGCTTGATCACATCACTGTTTTGTGCTTCTTGCGAGCCCAGGAGGTTTTTGGCGATTGAGGTTATCGCGGAGGCTGCCTGAGCTTTGCGGTCCCACGATTGGCTGTCAAAAAGTGTCTCGCAAAGGGTGATGACTTCGTCCAGATATAGTTTGAGACCAGTCAACGTGCCTGTAAAATAAATATTATAACCAAACAAAAAACCAGTTGCCACGCAAAATTCCAGCTAGGAATATTAGAGAAACAAAATATACTGAAAAACATTTGGTATTTTTTGAAACTTGTTTTTGTAGGTGTAATGAGAGGGTGAAGAACTGAACCAAAGTTTCAAAAACTAATCACCATCATCTTAACTAACCTTAACCTGTAAAAAAATAAGTATGTAAATATACCGCTTGGATAACGCTGTTCAGTTGGAAAAAAAACCGGATCAATCATTTTTTTATTCAGCCGGGAAATCAAAACAGAGCCAACCGAAGATTGGAAAAGAGTAATGAACGCCGCAAGTAAACATAAAAAAACACACATTTTGTTGAAAAAGTCTCTTATTTGAATTTAAAAGAAAAAAAAAGCCCTTTAAGCTCTTTGAATTTCTAGAACGAGTTATGATTGGCACTTTTTTGATAACATTAACCCAACTTGAGAAAACTGAATCAACAGGTAAAGTTGATATTCCGCTGGAAATAAGAAAATTAAATTCCACTTTCCAAACTAGAAATCGTGCACGTTTTTTTTGCGCCATTTCTACGTTCGTATTTGGAGAGTGCTATTTACGCCACTTTCAGCCGATGAACTTCAATTGATTTCAAAAAATGCATATATACCTAGTGGATCAATATTTTAAGACTTTTTCCTGAACAAAAAAAATCAGCAAGACCTATATAAGAGTCTTCGCTACGTTCATAACTCTTAAAAAGATTAATGAACTATTTATTGGTAGTTGAAATAGAAACTATAAAGAGTCGGCGTTGTCATGGAAGACTGAAATTCACGTGTTTTTTGCTAATAGCAATCACCACTTTAATCCTTAGTTCATTCATTCTGCGGGGGAAGGGGGTTTGGTTGGACTTTGAAATATGTATGAATGCACATCTGTAGTAATTAGAGACTTTTATGCACATTTTAAGACTTTTTCTGAATTAAAAAAATCAGCAAGACCTATATAAGAGTCTCCACTGCGTTCATTACTCTTAAAAACCAAAATCCTCCTTTGAAATTAAAAATCAAGCTCCCATTTTTTCTGAAAAAAAAACGCCTAAAGAAATTGCCAAAGAGTAAATGAATTCAGGAAAACCTAAAAACGACTGATTATTTATGAAGCACTTAAGAAAACTAAAAAAAGCAAAATCCACTTTCAAAAAAAAAATCGGCCAAACATTTTTGCGCCATTACGCATTTTTTGCTGTTGTAGAGCTTAATTCTTGTTCTATCTACCAAATGAATTTGATTTGAACTTAACAAAAACTAAAAAATCAAACAGCGAAAAATCAAGCTTGAGCGTGTACAAAATTTGAAACTTTTTTACCAAAAAAAAACACAATACCTGAAAAACCGTCTTGAATTCTTATTCGCTGGTTGACCCTTAAAACCAAACAACCTAGACGAGTTAAAATTGACTTCGTTGACTAACTTTTAATAAGCTTGCTAATTTAGTAAACATTTTGTTTTCACAACATCACGATCGCTGAGTCTTTTTTTTTCTTATAAAGACCGCTGCAAGATGAAAAAAAAATCGAGGTAAAGCTAAAACATTGAAACCGATAGTGAAATTTGTCAATTCAATTCCAACCTGTGACGACGCTGGTCCATACAGACCCATACAGCTCTTTCGTCTCCTCTAATTTACTCTTCTCTGATTGGTCACCCGACTGTTCCACCTGTTGACTCACAAATACCTGAAACATGAAACTATTTCTCAAGAAGCAGGAAAAAAACTTCGAGCTAGATAATAAAAATTTTAAAATAAGTTAATCGGTCAAATTAAATTAAAGGACTTCATTTGTAAGTACGTTTAAGATTACTATACGTAAAGACATTACTGAAACCAAAACATAGCCAACTGACAGTTGGAAAAGAGCAATCAACGCAAGGAAACTGAAAAAAAACCTACTTGTTTTTTTCAAAAATCTTCAATTTTCGAATTTCGGAGGAAAAAAAGATGGCCTTAAAGCTCTTTGAATTTGTAGAAAGACCTTTACAATTTTGCTGTTCGATAGTGGAGTTGTTTGCCTTCCTTTTAACAATAGAAATGCACCGAACTTAAAAATAAATCACAAGTCAAACCGCGAAAAATCGAAATTGAGCGTGAAAAAACTCTCGATCATTCGACCCATTATTTTAAAAAAAAACACGGCCAACAGACAGTTGGAGAACATTCAATGAACGCAAGGAAACAAACAAAGATTTCAATTTTCAAATTTCAGAGAAAAAAAATATGTGGTCTTAAAGCCTTTTGAAAACTTCAAAAACAATTCAATATTTTCACTTTTTAAAAATAAATTTCACTCAATTTGAAAAAAAAACTGGATCAAGAGATAAAATTTTTACTCCGCTTGGAAAACTAAAAACTAAATTTTTTACTTTCTAGATGTCTTCCACGTTTTTTAGCGCACTTCTACTTTAGTGTTTGTAGAGCGCATTTTGTGCACTTTTAGAGTTCAATTCAATTTCATTTGCTGAAAGGTAGGCATGTACCTAAGTGCATTTATAAATGTATTAAAATGTTTGAATGCACTTCTGTAGGGTTTCTTCCAATTTTCGAACAAGTGACCGAATATTTTTAGAGCACTTCAAGTCTCTTTCCAGATTTAAAAAAATTTAAAAAATGTGTAATGACTGAGTTCCGACTTTTAAACCGAAGAAATAAGAGAGTATTGCAGCCAGTAAGAAGTTTTTCACCGATAAAATTGTTTATCAAAAGAAGTAAAACAATTACACGACTTTTCCTTATCATGCCTAAAATCTCGCTTAAAAACTTGCAAAAAAAACACGACTGCTCTTATATCAGGGCAAAGCACTGAACGTTTCGACAGCACTTAAAGGCAACTGGAAATATAATTTTTTGTTGTTGAAAATTTGACAAAATAAATGAAAAAAAAAACAAATTAATTTTTTTTGCTAGAATCCCATGCGCTAATTTGAACAATAAACTGGCATATTTAGCGTCCTAATAGTAAGACAAAACGATTTGCCTCTATTCAATTAGGTACGCATTAATCCACTGCTTACGCTTATTATAGGATTGCACTATATCGACCGTTAATTATCCCAAATTGGCTAAATTTGCGACCTTCACACAACTATAACTTTACAAAAAACGATCAGTGAAAATAACTTTTTAAAACTGAGCTCCATTTAAAATTTAAACAGCAATATCTTTCAGATGGTATGAAAAAATTTCGTAAAAAACGCTGGGTTGAAAAGTCGAATAAACAAAAACCACCCCAAGCATAAATATTCCGATTTTTTTTTCGAAAGTTGGAACAGTAAGTTTTAATTTTGCTTGGTGACATTGCTTTTTCTATTTTTCAACGAAAAAACCAAAACATAGTCATAGTGAAAGAAAAGTATGGAACTTTTGGGAGAAATAGTTTTGATCAATTAGAGATCCTTTTAACTTTATTCAGTTTCCTCATTTACGGTTAGCGTCATATCAGCAATCGGAATGATTGGCATGCCATTCTCGTTCACAACCTACGCTCATTAAATAGCGCTCAAAGGCTTGATTTTAAATGGTAAATATTTTTCTCGCTATATTCTTTGCTGCCGACGTCTTCTTTGATCTAAGTTTCTGTTTTTATCTTGGATTAAAACGGTTTGATAGTTGATAATGGCGTTAAAATGTAGCATTTAAAAATGTGACCTTTGAAGTTGTTAAATTAATTAATGGTAGGGAATGAAAATGTGATGAGTTAAATTGTTCGGCCTTCATTCATGCAAATGAATTAATGTTATTTCTTTTTGATCAAAAAGTCAATTGAAAAACTCATTTTCATTGTCTATAATTACAAACTTTAAAGTGAAAAAACGATGCGAACTATTCTACCTGTCCCATAAAAGAGAGAGGAGCAACTAGGTTCAAGTGTTCACTGACTACATCTGGACAGTTCCTGCATGCATCGGAGAGTGCTTTGGCACACGTCAGCTGAGTCGGTAGATCTGAAACACATTCAAATAAAATCTCTCGTGTCTTCAATTAAAATCTTCAGTTAAAATATTTAATTTAACTATAGGTATTATACCGTATATTTGGTTGGCTTTTGTTGAAAAAGCGCAGATTCAAAGGTGGTTTTTCGAATTCTTGGTGACCCGAGAGGATTTATATTTGCAAAATAGAAATGAAATCAAAAATGATTTTTAGAATGCGATCTCCTGAAGCATTTAAATGCGATCTCCTGTAGCATTTAAAGGGATGATGACCGGTATTGTGGCTGGAATTTTTTTGAAGAGTTTGAAATAAAATTGCTCCGGTTAAGACAACCAAATATAAAAAGAGACAAAAAACTTTATCGAAGCTTGAATGGCTCTCATCGCATCACAATTTTAAAAAAAAAGATTTAGTGCCTGAAAACTTTTGGAGTAGTTGCAAAACGTAGTAGAACAATTCAGGGTCAGAATTATAATCCCAATAGATGAAATCGACTGAAAATTTTCTGTCAATTTAGTATAAATAACTCAGATTATAAATTACTACAAAAATTATTAGATGAAGATATAGATAACATCAACATGTAACAGCAGCAGATGCCGTTGCTTAACATACCGTGTTGTTCTATGGTCCAAGTGTGTATTTTGGAGAAGTACTTGTGTGCCACTGCTGATCTGGACACCTTGAGGACATTTGGGATGGCACTGCTGTACACTCCCCTCACCACTCCGTTCTTGTCCATCAGACGACTGGTCATCTTCTTCACCAGTTTGTCTAAGTTAAGAATAGTAATTAACAATTCCACCTCCTATGGGTTCCATTAACTAGTCCCGCCTACTATGCTAACTAGTAAAGAAATCCCACCGCTATAAACAACTAATTCAATGATTAACAGTTTGCGAAATTATCACCCTTCGCAATAGGGGTTAAAACAGTTTAAACACAGAGGCGAGCCTGCGCTTCGCAAACACTTGCGAGAACACGACCAAAAAGCAGCTCTATCAAGTGACATGAGAGAAAAAGTAGAAAGAAGCCTCGAACTAGCAAAAACTCGAGGCTTAGCAAAAATCTGCGACTTAGCAAATTTGAGTCTCACGCACTAACCATTCAGCCACGGATGCTTTAAATCACCAAAAACTGGCCATCAATAATGCAGCTACATATGCTAATAAATTGCCAATTCGATGCAGTAATAGTAGCATCAAGTACAAAAAGATACGACTTTGCATGTAAAAAGGTGCAAATCATAAAGCCACATTATGTATGAATTATGTATTTCAAAAAATTGCGAGATCTATTGAGTTAGAAAATTTCTGAAATCGAGATTTTATTTTTGTTATATTGCTTGAAACAAATAGCTTTCTTCGGTTCACTGAATGAATTAAAAATGCATCAACTGTGTAACTTTATAAACATTCGCGTTAACTATTCGTGTAAACTTATAACTAAAGTACACATTATCAATAAGCTGTAAAGAGGTAACAAATATCAAAGGTGCAACAAAATATCAAAATATCTTATTGCCGTTTCGATGCAGCAAACTCGACGCAGCAAGTATTGCTGCTTTAAGTCGCAACAAAATTTGCCACTTAGGTTGGAAAAAGAAAGAAAGTTCGTACTATAACACATTGTTTCGCAAGTGTAGAAAAGAACACTGAATTTCCTGAATATTGATATATATTAACAAATGTTATTCAAAGTTTACAGGCAGTGTGAAAATTGAACGACTTTTTGACAAAAACAAGACAAAAGGTACTATGGCATTATAGCTCAAAGACATGATTTAAGAGAACTTAAATGTGTCCAATGATAGCTTTGCGTACGACACTTGGCTTGGGTCCTTCTTAAATCAGTTCAAAGAAAAAAAATGTTTTTTTTACTTTTTTTGATGTGCAATAAAGTACATTTGCGAAAAATTGCTCAAATAATTGGTGATCATTATGTAATAAAATACCTTTTCTAAAACACTTTTTTTTGCGTATTGGCTATTGCAGAAAACGGTGTGAAAAAATTTGTTCTCTGATGCAAAAAAAAATTTGCTGTTGGTAAAACGAGCCCACCTTTAGTAACCAGAAAAGCAGACTTTTGAAAACTTAAACAATAGTGAATGTATAACGATGAGCTGTAATCAAGCAAAAAAAACGAAGAGATAAAAATTAATATTCGAGTTTTAGATTTGCGGACGATTGAAACTAAGACAAACAATTGCAGTCTTTTACGGCCAAGCTGAGTTGTTTTTTTGAGTAACGAATAGATTTTATGATATCGTACTCAGAATTATAGCCCAATATTGTAAATGGCTGAGTACTAGACAATTAATGAGCATTGTTTTTAATTTGGATGACACAATTTCCCGAAAAGTGTATATGGTTTGGATACCGTGCCATTTTTTCAAAAAACTTTTAACCCGATTTTAGTAAGTGACTCAGTTGTCAGTAAGGACGCCTAAAAAATTAATTTCATTGAGCTCGTTTATAATCTGATCACCAATATGCATTGTTTCAGGTTTCTTTGAATTATTTCCAAAAACAATAAATTCAGTTTTACCCTGATTGATTTTCAAAGAGTATTGACGAAAATAGCTAAGCGAATTGGCCATGTTACTTTCCCAATTTTCTGTGCATTGGCTAATTTTGTGACCATTACTCAGCAGTATTGTATCAACTGCATATGGTAAGATATCACAGTTTACCGTGTTGTACATATCACTGACATATAGATTAAATAAGTGGTCCCAGGACTGTACCTTGAGGAACTCCTCTTATGACTGTGAGCCTATCTGATTCTGTTCCATTTAGGACAACTTTATGATTTCTGTTTGTCGGATAACTCTGAATAAGAATAAGGCAGTTGAATCAAAACCAAAGTATTCAAACTTTTTTAATAGAAAATTATGCTCAATTGATTCGAAAGCTTTAGACAAATCAAGAAGAGCACCCGCAACCAGGATTTTACACTAGACTTACGCTCTGATTGTTTCTGTCAGTAACATTAGACCATCGGTGGAAGAAAACTGTTTTCGAAATTGAAATTGATGTCTGCTCATCAAGTGGAAATAATCTAGGTACTCGATCATTTGTTGTTGAAGAATTTTTTCAAAAACTTTTGCCAGTGCACGAGTAATAGATATTCGTCTGTAGTTTGTTGCATCTTCGAAATCCCCTTTTTTGAGCAAAAGTTTTATGTTAGCCAATTTAAGCCTATCCAAAAAGTGTTGAGAGCGAGGTATTCATTAACTTGTTGAGTTACTGGATATGCTATTTCATTAGCAGCATAATGTAACGCCCATGCTGGTATTTTACAAAGATCCGAGAAGCAAGACGAAGTTTTGGTATTTCATGTCTGGTAACAAACCTTAAAGAAAAAGATCCCCCTGCTGATAAAAATGTTTTGGTTTTACAATAATTGGATGAGTTCGGTTCAAATAAAAATTCACCGAGTTTACTGAACTCGAAATTCAATAAATTTACTGTTTGTTTTCTATCAGCTGAAACAATGCCAAACGAATTTCTCATCGAAAGGATATCACACGCAGTCTTTTTTCTATTCCTCACTTCGTTTATACGGTTCCATTTTATTCTATCTGATGGGGCTGCTTCAATTAGTTGGTAGTATAACTTATCATAATCTTGCTTGCATTCTTTATACACAGAAAGTTTTAGTTTTGTGAATTTTTCAACTGTTCAGATAATTCAAATTATAGTCACCCATCAGAATTAACTTACTATTGCCTATGGCTGCTAATATTTGCAAGTTGTTCAAGAAAGTCAGTATACAGATTTTTCATAAGACAGTAAAATAAATTTACTAAAATTGTTTGACTTCGATTAACTTGAATATCGATCCACAAACTTTCAAACCGAGAATCAAAGTGTTAAACCAGGCCTTAACCGTGCCTTCATGTTTTTCGCACTAATAAAAGCAGTCTTCTCCCTTTTTGTTTGGGTTATCCGAGCCATCACAACTGAAAGTTTGAAAAGTTCTTTTTTGTGGTTGTTCGCGTCAGAGTTGTCTTTAAATGTTAGCCATGTTTCACTTAACCCAAAAACACAGTTGTGGCCTAAGTCGTTTGCCAGTCTATATATCTGAAGATGTTTTTTTTAGACTTTGGCCATTTACACGAAGGAATTTTAAATTTGATTGTAAAGTTAAGCATTTTTTGAAAACATTGTCGTATAAAAGCATTGGACCTGGGTTTAGTTCGACATCTACACGTCTAGCGAAAGGCTCAAAAAGAGAACGCGTTTTTCAAGGAGTGTCATAGCAGAAATAACTTAGAAAAGTATCTTTGAACAGAACCTGTTCACAGTTAAGACAAATTTTTATGCACCGAAATAAACCAAATTCACCGTTTCCATCTTCTGAGATGTCGCAGACCAAGCAATAAGACTACCAACTGTAAACTCTCATGAACAATTGCTGCACGTATTTCCCTGTTCTCAGTTGAGTTTTCAACACAATATAAAATGAAAAAATAGAACTGTTGCCGTCAGTACTCACTAGCATGTGGCTCCACAATCTCTCTGCCGCAGTTGAACGTCATCAGAGTGATCACGTGGGCTGCGCCTGTTTTGGTTGAGAACCCGACAGCTGATTGGACAGTTGAACACAACACACTGATAACTTCATCGATGTTGGACTGGTCTATCTGATTGGTCAGTTTGACGAGACAGTCCATAGGTCGAGAAGCTCGCGCGGAGGAGGCACGCGCAGAATCAAGCTACACAAAGACTTCAAATATACTTTTGCGAATAAACTTTGAATTTGATTTTTGCTATCAGTCGACTTAAAACTAACGTATCAGTCCTCTCATCACTGGTTTTCACCATGCAATTTTTTTTGATCATATGGGGAAAAATATTTCGAAGATTACATGCACATATAAGCTTGACTGAAAATCCGTTTGATCAATTTGATCTATCTGAATTTTATGAAAATGCGTAAAAACCATACTGACCGCGGTCTGTATCTGAGATCCTTCGCCTGCCCGAATACTGGCATAGTTGAGCACAGATGCCTCTGTGTCACTCAGAGAGTCCAGCAAGGCACTCATCATCTGGGCCAGGTGGGGTTTCAATACCCCAGCCCTCTCGTCCCCGCACAATTCCACTATTGCGTTCAAACTAGGACAAAAATAAACATAGTCAACAGACAGTAGGAAAAGAGTCACTGAACGCAAGGGAACCGAAAAAAGTGACTTGTCTTTCTGAAAACATTTCAACGTTCGAAGTTCAAAGTAACAAAAATGTGGCTTTAAAGCTCTTTCAATTTCAAAAACAATTTATGATTGACACTTGTTTGATAAAATTAAACTGGATCAAGAGGTTACTTTTTATTCCGCTTTTGTTACTTCGTTTTTCGTGAGTAATACCCCACCCTGAATGATAGATTCTGAATAAAATTCCGGGAAACTCAATTCGAGAACACCGGATGAACATTTTTATTCCAATAGTAAAACGTGAAACAAGTCAGTCCTTGAATATTTAAATGACAAATTTGGCGCTAAATTCAGCTATAATTTCGAACTCAGCTTAGGACTAAAAATAAGCGAGCCAAAAACTATAGCCATAAATTGGACCAGTTGTATTACCTGGTGTCGGAGACTATCTTCAACTTAGCCGCCAGTCCGTTCTCAACTAGTACTGGAACTAGAGTGGACACCACTTGAGACTTGGCATGGGGTCCCAGCACGCTGTCTGCCCCGCAACACTTGATTGCTGCTCTGCTCAGAGAAGAGAGACACTTCTCTCCCGCAACACGCACGGAATCCTAAAAACGACTTCTAACATTCTACCTCACTGTGGATTAATTAAAACAAATGTTCACATCGGTTAATTTTAATCTTAATCGGTACTAAATAAGACTAAGGGATAAACTTCAAAGTCAATTGGTTTTCAGAAAAAAAAGTTTGTATACGACTTGGACAACAAAGTTGTTCTTTATGTCTGACCGGAACTAGAGTGGACTAGGTGGTTGATTTATATCATTTAACGGGCATCTCCGCAGTGGAGTTTTAGACTTCAACTTTCAAGTCAGCTTCATTTACCTTGATGTCGTCACACCTGTCGAAGCAGAGTGTCCATGAGTCCCTGATGAAATGGGAACAGGCAGGAGAGTAGAGGTGGGAGGCGAAGTCACTGAGAGCGAGACATGCAGCCTCTCTACTCCTCCACTCTTTGCTCTCGAGCGAGGTCTGCAGCTCCACACAGATCTCACATGCATACTTCTCAACCTAAAAGTAATCAATATTAGATCTAAATAGATTGTAAACTGAGGCCAAACCAGAGCGTATAATAGCCTACAACATGTGGAAAAATCTTGATGAAAAAATGGCGGAAAACCATGGCGAAAAGCGGACACACTATAAACTTTGAAGTTCAAAAAAAAATACACGTAGAAAATTTTTAGAATGCGCAATGGGAACAAGACTAAAGAAATAAACTTTGAGAAAAACATGAAAGCTGAATAAAAAGTATTATTGAGCTATCGCTACGCTGATGAGTAAACGCTTTTCTTTTTTCGATACTTTTCAAGATAACACAATTTAATAAAGATCTGACTCCAGGGAACTTTTGAAAAATCAAATTCACCCGCGCCATTCCATAGCCCTCATTACGTTTCAAACCAAATCATCCATCACACTTTAACCCTAAGTCCATGAAATTATAGCAACAATTTAATCGTGGGTTAGCTATAAGATGATCATAGTGAAAATCTTCTGACTTCAAAATAAGGTATTCCAAGATTCACTGCATCAAATATCTATTCAACCGTCACCAAAAAGGACTTAACCATAAATTGATATAGTGCTACCATATTTAAAGGAATCTAACCTGGGCTGATATTTTCTGCAATGAGAAACGTACATAAGTTCAATAATTTTTTCTCAGAGACTCAAAAAAGCTTTAGACGAGATCTTAGCGGCTTTGTTATTTCAACAGAAAAACCAAGTAATTTTTTTTTGTTAAGTTATAACATATTCAATGGAGACTAATTTCAACAAACAAGCGGATGCTTATGGCGTTAATCAAACATTTAGGCTCCGAGGATTCTAGTTAGCTGTGTAAAACTAAACCTTGATATCATGCAGAAACCAGTTTATTTAATCGTTATTAAAATTCGGGTATCGTCATATTTTCCTAGCTATGCCCTTCTATCGCAAAAAAGGGCAGAGGAATTCAGAACTAGGTTCAAAACTTGCAGCGCTTAAATTTGGTTGGTTTAGGAAAGTGTACAGAGCATTGATTGGTTGCTAAGTGTACATTGGTTGCATTGATAAGTATACAGAGAATCATTCGGTCCTTTGCGCTTGAGAAAAGCCCCCATGAATTATTCCCATTTTGATCCACTAACCGTATCTTTTAGATTGGAAGAGAGTGCACTCCATATCCTGCCCATAGACTCCCTCACTTGAGGGTTGGGGTCAAACTTGTATCGGAACAGCTTCGGCAACAGTTTCGGCAGGTGTGGCTCCAACTCAGCCGACGCCTGCTCTGCCAAGTAGGAGAAGCCAAAAGCCGCACCCTAACGCAAGGAAATTTTAGCTCCACATGATTTAGTTCTCTGATATAAATCTCATGTACAATCTCAGATAAATCCCAACTTTCTAAAAAGTTAACTTTATCAAACATAGAAAAATATAATATCAATAAATTTAGTTTTATATTTGCAAGTGTTATCATTTGTATTAATTGAGTTTTGTGTCACTATCTTTCACTTTCCAAAAAATTACATTTCAAAACAAAGCCAACAGAGAGTTGGAAAAGAGACAATAAACTCAAGGAAACAAAACATATACCGACTTTTTTTGAAAAAAAATATTCAAGAACAATCTATCAGTGGCACTTTTTTGATAAGATTAACTCAATTTCAGAAAAATGGATCGGTAGGTAAAAATTTTTTTCGCTGAGAAATCTGAAAGTGAAAATCCACGTTAAAAATTAGAAGTCGATAACTTTTCTTGACCTTTAGACTTCTGCTGTTCGATAGTGGAGTTTACCTTCTTATTAACGAAGGAAATGAAGGGAACTTAATAAAAAATCAAACCACGATAAAATCAATTTGAGCCTGAACAAAAAAGCACGATTAAAAGATCTGCAACACTCTTTTTTGCACCTTGCGTGAATTCCACATCATGTTGTGGTTGGATAGGGAGATGAACTTGTAGACCAAGTCTGGCTTGTTCATGTCGGTAGCCAGAGAACAGAGATCCTTGTAAGTTGAGATGGATCCACCACTAGGAGTCTTCCCAACCTCGCCCTCAGAAAAGATCTCTTCGTCTCCTGAAGACAGACAAACAGAGCATAAATTAAAAACTGAACCGTCAAGGCGGAAGAAAAAGCCAAACTTAGACATTTTGCAAAATATTTCAAAATTTTTGAAAGAGGACATAAATCTGGTTCTATTTTTTTCCAAGAACTTACTCCACGTCGAATTCACTCCATGAAACTGCATGTAACTCTTTATTTGCAGGAAACAACGCCAAAAAACTGATGCAGTTCTTAATCAGGAGCTCAACAGCTTCTCCTTAAAGAGTCTAGGGATTCCAACCGTGGATAAATAGTCTTAATAAGTAATAATGCTATAGTTTAATTGCTATATTAATTATTTAATTTGTTGCAACTACATGACTTCGATCGATTGACTCACCCGAGGTGATTTTGACTTTGTTGCTCTTCTGGTTGGTTCCTCCGGTGCCCCCGTCCATGAACATTCCCATCATGTGTTCAATCAATCTCTGCTTCTCCTCCTCCCCACAGACGTGGAACAGACTGGACAAGGCCGATGAGGCCAGATCCTACCACACAACACAAGTCAGACTAGAAAAGAGTTATAAGACATGAGAACCGAGAACGTCAAATTATATTACTCTCATATTTCTCTGCTATAAGAAGCACTCACCCAAAAAAAAACTGGAGAAAAATTTGGATAATTAAAAAAGGTACTCTTTAAAAAATCTGAAAACCTATCAAAATATGCGTTAGAGCCAAAGAACTCCAATAGAAAAGCTCACCTGAACTGTTTCGTTCTTATTGGACAGCAGCTGCATTAAACTGGCCTGCAGCTGTCTCGCTCTTGTCTGAATTGCACTGTGAGGAGGACAGTTGCTCAGGATCTCGGACAACCAGTAGGCACATGTCTAAATGGAGCATAAACTTTTCAATCATTACTAGGGCGAAACTTCAGAGGCTATAATGATTTGCTACTTTCAAGAAGGCCGAGACGAAGCTGCACTTCGCAAACACAAGCAACAAACGGCAAAAAAGAGCTTAACATATACAAGAATGAATATGGGAAGAAAACAAACTTTGAAAATTAAAAAGAATCAGCCAACTAGTGAACTTCTGTCGGAAATAGGCAGCACTGAATGCGCACTTTTAAAGCGGAAAAAAGCGAATGCTACTAAACCAAACAGAATTTGAGCAGCATACAACATACTGAAATTGAATAGAAAATTTGCACACATTGAACACTAAATTGTGAGACTTCGTCGAAAACAGTGATCTCGTGGTACATCACAAGGGTTTGTTTATGAACAAAAATAAAACAGATACAAAACTACGGTGGAAAAAAATGTTAACACCGAAAAAATGTTAACACAGAGGCGAAGCTGAGTTTCGCACCACTTGCGACACAAAAAAACGCCAAAACCAAAAGAGAAAATTTTGAATGATTTGTTGAAAAAATCGTAGACTTGAAAAATTAGAAATTTATTTTGCAATTTTTAGAAAAACCAATTAACTAAATATAAGAAGGATTTGGGCTGCACGAACTCTTTTCATTTCTTTTCTATAACCAATCGACTTACACGCTCAAAAAAAATTGGTCAAAAAACCGAGTTTCCAAAAGTACTCCTTAACTTTTGTTAAATTCCTGCATCTAAACAACCTGCATATCCAAGAACAATAACAAGAACAATGACAGGAAATTTTGCGATAAAAGAAGATGAAAGTTAAAGAAAAAAAATGAAAAAAAAGGAACAAAAAAATGAATGCTTAAGTTGGAAAAATTTCCACGATAGAAAAAAAAATAAAAAACATCGGAAAATTTAACAAAAACCCAATTATTTCAAACTTATCAAACATGAGATTGCTACGCAACATAAAGAAAAAATGATTAAAAATTCCCGTAAAGAAAAAAACACTAAAAATCATTTTTTTAAAATTTCAGACGGAAAAAAAACCCACTCTTGAATTGCGTGCGACACTCGCCTTCATCTTTATAGATAAACCACCCGAGTCAAAATTTCAAAAAATTAACCAAAATGTTGAAAAATGCAGTTGCTTCAAAAAAAATTGACATCTGAAAATAATACGTATGCCATCAACTAGATTCGATTTTAGAAACGCTGAAACTTACCAATAAATTGTAGCTAACACTAGATCCATGCACTTTAAGCTAAAAAAAAACGAAGCCGACTGAAAGTTGGAAAGAGTATTGAACGCAAGGAAACTGAAAACAAACTGACTTGTTTTGAAAAACTTTCAACTTTTGATCTTCGAAGAAAAAATAGTTGGCTTTGAAGCTCTTTGATTTGGAAAAATTTATGAGTGACATTATTTTGATAAAAAAAAGAAACCATATTGAGAAACCTGGATCAAAAGATAAAAATTGTATTTAGCTGAAAAATTCGATAATTAATTTCCACTTTCGAAACTAAAGTCAATCACTTTTTTTCACGGACCTTTACACTTTCGCTGTTAGATAGTGAAGAATGGCTTCCTTTTAACAAAAGATATGAAGTGAAATGAAAAAGAAATCACAAGTCAAACCGCGAAAAATGAAAATTGAGCATGAACAAATTTTAGACTTTTTCCAAAAAACCAAAAGAAGTCCTATATAAGAGTACTCAATACGTTCATATTGCTCTTAACACCTGACAGTTGGAAAAAGTAATGAACGGAAGGAAGCTGAAAAAAACTAACTTGTTTTGAAAAACTTTCAACTTTTGATCTTCAAAGAAAAATAGGTGGCTTTAAAGCTCTTTCATTTAGAACAATTTATGAGTGACATTATTTTGATAAAAAGAAACCATATTGAGAAAACTTGATCAATAGAAAAAAATTGTATTTAGCTGGAAATTTCGATATTTAATTTCCACTTTCGAAACTAGAAGTCAATTAATTTCACGGACCTTTATACTTTCGCTGTTAGTTAGTGGAGAATGGCTTCCTTTTAACAAAAGATATGAAGTGAAATGAACAAGAAATCACAAGTCAAACCGCGAAAAATGAAAATTGAGCATGATCAAATTTTAGACTTTTTCCAAAAAAACCAAAAGAAGTCCTATATAAGAGTACTCAATACGTTCATATTGCTCTTAACACCTGACAGTTGGAAAGAGTAATGAACGCAAGGAAGCTGAAAAAAACTGACTTGTTTTGAAAAATTTTCAACTTTTGATCTTCAAAGAAAAATAGGTGAATTTAAAGCTCTTTCATTTAGAACAATTTATGAGTGACATTATTTTGATTTAAGAAAGAGTACTCACTACGTTTATTGCTCTTAACACCTGACAGTTGGAAAGAGCAATGAACGCAAGGAAACTGAAAAAAAAAATGAATTGTTTTGAAAAACTTTCAACTTTTGATCTTCGAAGAAAAAATAGATGGCTTTAAAGCGCTTTGATTTGGAACAAATTATGAGTGGCATTATTTTGATAAAAAAAGAAACCATATTGAGAAAACTAAATCAATAGATAAAAATTGTATATAGCTGGAAATTTCGATATTTAATTTCCACTTTCGAAACTAGCAGTCAATTAATTTCACGGACCTTTATACTTTCGCTGTTAGATAGTGGAGAATGGCTTCCTTTTAACAAAAGATATGAAGTGAACTGAAAAAAAATCACAAGTCAAACCGCGAAAAATGAAAATTGAGCATGAACAAATTTTAGACTTTTTCCAAAAAAAACCAAAAGAAGTCCTATATAAGAGTACTCACTACGTTCATATTGCTCTTAACACCTGACAGTTGGAAAGAGTAATGAACGCAAGGAAGCTGAAAAAAAAACTGAATTGTTTTGAAAAACTTTCAACTTTTGATCTTCGAAGAAAAAATAGATGGCTTTAAAGCTCTTTGATTTGGAACAATTTATGAGTGACATTATTTTGAAAAAAATCATATTGAGAAAATTTAAATTGGATCAATAGATAAAAATTGTATTTAGCTGAAAAATTCGGTAATTAATTTCCACTTTCGAAACTAAAATCAATCACTTTTTTTTCACGGACCTTTACACTTTCGCTGTTAGATAGTGGAGGATGGCTTCCTTTTAACAAAAGATAAGAAGTGAAATGAACAAGAAATCACAAGTCAAACCGCGAAAAATGAAAATTGAGCATGATCAAATTTTAGACTTTTTCCAAAAAAACCAAAAGAAGTCCTATATAAGAGTACTCAATACGTTCATATTGCTCTTAACACCTGACAGTTGGAAAGAGAAATGAACGCAAGGAAGCTGAAAAAAACTGACTTGTTTTGAAAAATTTTCAACTTTTGATCTTCAAAGAAAAATAGGTGATTTTAAAGCTCTTTCATTTAGAACAATTTATGAGTGACATTATTTTGATTTAAAAAAAAACCATATTGAGAAAACTTGATCAATAGAAAAAAATTGTATTTAGCTGGAAAATTCGATATTTAATTTCCACTTTCGAAACTAGAAGTCAGAAGTCAATCATTTTCACGGACCTTTACACTTTCGCTGTTAGATAGTGGAGGATGGCTTCCTTTTAACAGAAGATATGAAGTGAACTGAAAAAAATCACAAGTCAAACCGCGAAAAATGAAAATTGAGCATGATCAAATTTTAGACTTTTTCCAAAAAAACCAAAAGAAGTCCTATATAAGAGTACTCACTACGTTCATATTGCTCTTAACATCTGACAGTTGGAAAGAGTAATGAACGCAGGGAAGCTGAAAAAAAAACTGAATTGTTTTGAAAAACTTTCAACTTTTGATCTTCGAAGAAAAATAGGTGGCTTTAAGCTCTTTCATTTAGAACAATTTATGAGTGACATTATTTTGAAAAAAAAAACCATATTGAGAAAATTGGATCAATAGATAAAAATTGTATTTAGCTGAAAAATTCGGTAATTAATTTCCACTTTCGAAACTAAAATCACTCACTTTTTTTCACGGACCTTTACACTTTCGCTGTTAGATAGTGGAGGATGGCTTCCTTTTAACAAAAGATATGAAGTGAAATGAACAAGAAATCACAAGTCAAACCGCGAAAAATGAAAATTGAGCATGATCAAATTTTAGACTTTTTCCAAAAAAACCAAAAGAAGTCCTATATAAGAGTACTCAATACGTTCATATTGCTCTTAACACCTGACAGTTGGAAAGAGTAATGAACGCAAGGAAGCTGAAAAAAACTGACTTGTTTTGAAAAATTTTCAACTTTTGATCTTCAAAGAAAAATAGGTGATTTTAAAGCTCTTTCATTTAGAACAATTTATGAGTGACATTATTTTGATTTAAAAAAAAACCATATTGAGAAAACTTGATCAATAGAAAAAAATTGTATTTAGCTGGAAAATTCGATATTTAATTTCCACTTTCGAAACTAGAAGTCAGAAGTCAATCATTTTCACGGACCTTTACACTTTCGCTGTTAGATAGTGGAGGATGGCTTCCTTTTAACAGAAGATATGAAGTGAACTGAAAAAAATCACAAGTCAAACCGCGAAAAATGAAAATTGAGCATGAGCAGGAACAAATTTTAAACTTTTTCTAAAAAACCGAAAAAATCCTACATAAGAGTACTCACTACGTTTATTGCTCTTAACACCTGACAGTTGGAAAGAGCAATGAACGCAAGGAAACTGAAAAAAAACTGAATTGTTTTGAAAAACTTTCAACTTTTGATCTTCGAAGAAAAAATAAATGGCTTTAAAGCTCTTTGATTTGGAACAATTTATGAGTGGCATTTTTTTGATAAAAAAAGAAACCATATTGAGAAAACTAAATCAATAGATAAAAATTGTATTTAGCTGGAAAATTCGATAATTAATTTCCACTTTCGAAACTAGAAGTCAATCACTTTATTCACGGACCTTTACACTTTCGCTGTTAGATAGTGGAGGATGGCTTCCTTTTAACAAAAGATATGAAGTGAAATGAAAAAGAAATCACAAGTCAAACCGCGAAAAATGAAAATTGAGCATGAACAAATTTTAGACTTTTTCCAAAAAAAACCAAAAGAAGTCCTATATAAGAGTACTCACTAGGTTCATATTGCTCTTAACACCTGACAGTTGGAAAAAGTAATGAACGCAAGGAAGCTGAAAAAAACTAACTTGTTTTGAAAAAATTTCAACTTTTGATCTTCAAAGAAAAATAGGTGGCTTTAAAGCTCTTTCATTTAGAACAATTTATGAGTGACATTAATTTGATAAACTTGTATCGGAACAGCTTCGGCAACAGTTTCGGCAGGTGTGGCTCCAACTCAGCCGACGCCTGCTCTGCCAAGTAGGAGAAGCCAAAAGCCGCACCCTAACGCAAGGAAATTTTAGCTCCACATGATTTAGTTCTCTGATATAAATCTCATGTACAATCTCAGATAAATCCCAACTTTCTAAAAAGTTAACTTTATCAAACATAGAAAAATATAATATCAATAAATTTAGTTTTATATTTGCAAGTGTTATCATTTGTATTAATTGAGTTTTGTGTCACTATCTTTCACTTTCCAAAAAATTACATTTCAAAACAAAGCCAACAGAGAGTTGGAAAAGAGACAATAAACTCAAGGAAACAAAACATATACCGACTTTTTTTGAAAAAAAATATTCAAGAACAATCTATCAGTGGCACTTTTTTGATAAGATTAACTCAATTTCAGAAAAATGGATCGGTAGGTAAAAATTTTTTTCGCTGAGAAATCTGAAAGTGAAAATCCACGTTAAAAATTAGAAGTCGATAACTTTTCTTGACCTTTAGACTTCTGCTGTTCGATAGTGGAGTTTACCTTCTTATTAACGAAGGAAATGAAGGGAACTTAATAAAAAATCAAACCACGATAAAATCAATTTGAGCCTGAACAAAAAAGCACGATTAAAAGATCTGCAACACTCTTTTTTGCACCTTGCGTGAATTCCACATCATGTTGTGGTTGGATAGGGAGATGAACTTGTAGACCAAGTCTGGCTTGTTCATGTCGGTAGCCAGAGAACAGAGATCCTTGTAAGTTGAGATGGATCCACCACTAGGAGTCTTCCCAACCTCGCCCTCAGAAAAGATCTCTTCGTCTCCTGAAGACAGACAAACAGAGCATAAATTAAAAACTGAACCGTCAAGGCGGAAGAAAAAGCCAAACTTAGACATTTTGCAAAATATTTCAAAATTTTTGAAAGAGGACATAAATCTGGTTCTATTTTTTTCCAAGAACTTACTCCACGTCGAATTCACTCCATGAAACTGCATGTAACTCTTTATTTGCAGGAAACAACGCCAAAAAACTGATGCAGTTCTTAATCAGGAGCTCAACAGCTTCTCCTTAAAGAGTCTAGGGATTCCAACCGTGGATAAATAGTCTTAATAAGTAATAATGCTATAGTTTAATTGCTATATTAATTATTTAATTTGTTGCAACTACATGACTTCGATCGATTGACTCACCCGAGGTGATTTTGACTTTGTTGCTCTTCTGGTTGGTTCCTCCGGTGCCCCCGTCCATGAACATTCCCATCATGTGTTCAATCAATCTCTGCTTCTCCTCCTCCCCACAGACGTGGAACAGACTGGACAAGGCCGATGAGGCCAGATCCTACCACACAACACAAGTCAGACTAGAAAAGAGTTATAAGACATGAGAACCGAGAACGTCAAATTATATTACTCTCATATTTCTCTGCTATAAGAAGCACTCACCCAAAAAAAACTGGAGAAAAATTTGGATAATTAAAAAAGGTACTCTTTAAAAAATCTGAAAACCTATCAAAATATGCGTTAGAGCCAAAGAACTCCAATAGAAAAGGTCACCTGAACTGTTTCGTTCTTATTGGACAGCAGCTGCATTAAACTGGCCTGCAGCTGTCTCGCTCTTGTCTGAATTGCACTGTGAGGAGGACAGTTGCTCAGGATCTCGGACAACCAGTAGGCACATGTCTAAATGGAGCATAAACTTTTCAATCATTACTAGGGCGAAACTTCAGAGGCTATAATGATTTGCTACTTTCAAGAAGGCCGAGACGAAGCTGCACTTCGCAAACACAAGCAACAAACGGCAAAAAAGAGCTTAACATATACAAGAATGAATATGGGAAGAAAACAAACTTTGAAAATTAAAAAGAATCAGCCAACTAGTGAACTTCTGTCGGAAATAGGCAGCACTGAATGCGCACTTTTAAAGCGGAAAAAAGCGAATGCTACTAAACCAAACAGAATTTGAGCAGCATACAACATACTGAAATTGAATAGAACATTTGCACACATTGAACACTAAATTGTGAGACTTCGTCGAAAACAGTGATCTCGTGGTACATCACAAGGGTTTGTTTATGAACAAAAATAAAACAGATACAAAACTACGGTGGAAAAAAATGTTAACACCGAAAAAATGTTAACACAGAGGCGAAGCTGAGTTTCGCACCACTTGCGACACAAAAAAACGCCAAAACCAAAAGAGAAAATTTTGAATGATTTGTTGAAAAAATCGTAGACTTGAAAAATTAGAAATTTATTTTGCAATTTTTAGAAAAACCAATTAACTAAATATAAGAAGGATTTGGGCTGCACGAACTCTTTTCATTTCTTTTCTATAACCAATCGACTTACACGCTCAAAAAAAATTGGTCAAAAAACCGAGTTTCCAAAAGTACTCCTTAACTTTTGTTAAATTCCTGCATCTAAACAACCTGCATATCCAAGAACAATAACAAGAACAATGACAGGAAATTTTGCGATAACAGAAGATGAAAGTTAAAGAAAAAAAATGAAAAAAAAGGAACAAAAAAATGAATGCTTAAGTTGGAAAAATTTCCACGATAGAAAAAAAACTAAAAAACATCGGAAAATTTAACAAAAACCCAATTATTTCAAACTTATCAAACATGAGATTGCTACGCAACATAAAGAAAAAATGATTAAAAATTCCCGTAAAGAAAAAAACACTAAAAATCATTTTTTTAAAATTTCAGACGGAAAAAAAACCCACTCTTGAATTGCGTGCGACACTCGCCTTCATCTTTATAGATAAACCACCCGAGTCAAAATTTCAAAAAATTAACCAAAATGTTGAAAAATGCAGTTGCTTCAAAAAAAATTGACATCTGAAAATAATACGTATGCCATCAACTAGATTCGATTTTAGAAACGCTGAAACTTACCAATAAATTGTAGCTAACACTAGATCCATGCACTTTAAGCTAAAAAAAAACGAAGCCGACTGAAAGTTGGAAAGAGTATTGAACGCAAGGAAACTGAAAACAAACTGACTTGTTTTGAAAAACTTTCAACTTTTGATCTTCGAAGAAAAAATAGTTGGCTTTGAAGCTCTTTGATTTGGAAAAATTTATGAGTGACATTATTTTGATAGAAAAAAGAAACCATATTGAGAAACCTGGATCAAAAGATAAAAATTGTATTTAGCTGAAAAATTCGATAATTAATTTCCACTTTCGAAACTAAAGTCAATCACTTTTTTTCACGGACCTTTACACTTTCGCTGTTAGATAGTGAAGGATGGCTTCCTTTTAACAAAAGATATGAAGTGAAATGAAAAAGAAATCACAAGTCAAACCGCGAAAAATGAAAATTGAGCATGAACAAATTTTAGACTTTTTCCAAAAAACCAAAAGAAGTCCTATATAAGAGTACTCAATACGTTCATATTGCTCTTAACACCTGACAGTTGGAAAAAGTAATGAACGGAAGGAAGCTGAAAAAAACTAACTTGTTTTGAAAAACTTTCAACTTTTGATCTTCAAAGAAAAATAGGTGGCTTTAAAGCTCTTTCATTTAGAACAATTTATGAGTGACATTATTTTGATAAAAAGAAACCATATTGAGAAAACTTGATCAATAGAAAAAAATTGTATTTAGCTGGAAATTTCGATATTTAATTTCCACTTTCGAAACTAGAAGTCAATTAATTTCACGGACCTTTATACTTTCGCTGTTAGTTAGTGGAGAATGGCTTCCTTTTAACAAAAGATATGAAGTGAAATGAACAAGAAATCACAAGTCAAACCGCGAAAAATGAAAATTGAGCATGATCAAATTTTAGACTTTTTCCAAAAAAAACCAAAAGAAGTCCTATATAAGAGTACTCAATACGTTCATATTGCTCTTAACACCTGACAGTTGGAAAGAGTAATGAACGCAAGGAAGCTGAAAAAAACTGACTTGTTTTGAAAAATTTTCAACTTTTGATCTTCAAAGAAAAATAGGTGAATTTAAAGCTCTTTCATTTAGAACAATTTATGAGTGACATTATTTTGATTTAAGAAAGAGTACTCACTACGTTTATTGCTCTTAACACCTGACAGTTGGAAAGAGCAATGAACGCAAGGAAACTGAAAAAAAAATGAATTGTTTTGAAAAACTTTCAACTTTTGATCTTCGAAGAAAAAATAGATGGCTTTAAAGCGCTTTGATTTGGAACAAATTATGAGTGGCATTATTTTGATAAAAAAAGAAACCATATTGAGAAAACTAAATCAATAGATAAAAATTGTATATAGCTGGAAATTTCGATATTTAATTTCCACTTTCGAAACTAGCAGTCAATTAATTTCACGGACCTTTATACTTTCGCTGTTAGATAGTGGAGAATGGCTTCCTTTTAACAAAAGATATGAAGTGAACTGAAAAAAAATCACAAGTCAAACCGCGAAAAATGAAAATTGAGCATGAACAAATTTTAGACTTTTTCCAAAAAAAACCAAAAGAAGTCCTATATAAGAGTACTCACTACGTTCATATTGCTCTTAACACCTGACAGTTGGAAAGAGTAATGAACGCAAGGAAGCTGAAAAAAAAACTGAATTGTTTTGAAAAACTTTCAACTTTTGATCTTCGAAGAAAAAATATATGGCTTTAAAGCTCTTTGATTTGGAACAATTTATGAGTGACATTATTTTGAAAAAAAATCATATTGAGAAAATTTAAATTGGATCAATAGATAAAAATTGTATTTAGCTGAAAAATTCGGTAATTAATTTCCACTTTCGAAACTAAAATCAATCACTTTTTTTTCACGGACCTTTACACTTTCGCTGTTAGATAGTGGAGGATGGCTTCCTTTTAACAAAAGATAAGAAGTGAAATGAACAAGAAATCACAAGTCAAACCGCGAAAAATGAAAATTGAGCATGATCAAATTTTAGACTTTTTCCAAAAAAACCATAAGAAGTCCTATATAAGAGTACTCAATACGTTCATATTGCTCTTAACACCTGACAGTTGGAAAGAGTAATGAACGCAAGGAAGCTGAAAAAAACTGACTTGTTTTGAAAAATTTTCAACTTTTGATCTTCAAAGAAAAATAGGTGAATTTAAAGCTCTTTCATTTAGAACAATTTATGAGTGACATTATTTTGATTTAAGAAAGAGTACTCACTACGTTTATTGCTCTTAACACCTGACAGTTGGAAAGAGCAATGAACGCAAGGAAACTGAAAAAAAAAATGAATTGTTTTGAAAAACTTTCAACTTTTGATCTTCGAAGAAAAAATAGATGGCTTTAAAGCTCTTTGATTTGGAATAAATTATGAGTGGCATTATTTTGATAAAAAAAGAAACCATATTGAGAAAACTAAATCAATAGATAAAAATTGTATATAGCTGGAAAATTCGATAATTAATTTCCACTTTCGAAACTAGAAGTCAATCACTTTATTCACGGACCTTTACACTTTCGCTGTTAAATAGTGGAGGATGGCTTCCTTTTAACAAAAGATGTGAAGTGAACTGAAAAAAACCACAAGTCAAACCGCGAAAAATGAAAATTGAGCATGAGCAGGAACAAATTTCAGACTTTTCTAAATAACCGAAAAAATCCTATATAAGAGTACTCACTACGTTTATTGCTCTTAACACCTGACAGTTGGAAAGAGCAACGAACGCAAGGAAACTGAAAAAAAAACTGAATTGTTTTGAAAAACTTTCAACTTTTGATCTTCGAAGAAAAAATAGATGGCTTTAAAGCTCTTTGATTTGGAACAATTTATGAGTGGCATTATTTTGATAAAAAAAGAAACCATTTTGAGAAAACTAAATCAATAGATAAAAATTGTATTTAGCTGGAAAATTCGATAATTAATTTCCACTTTCGAAACTAGAAGTCAATCACTTTATTCACGGACCTTTACACTTTCGCTGTTAGATAGTGGAGGATGGGTTCCTTTTAACAAAAGATATGAAGTGAAATGAAAAAGAAATCACAAGTCAAACCGCGAAAAATGAAAATTGAGCATGAACAAATTTTAGACTTTTTCCAAAAAAACCAAAAGAAGTCCTATATAAGAGTACTCACTACGTTCATATTGCTCTTAACACCTGACAGTTGGAAAGAGTAATGAACGCAGGGAAGCTGAAAAAAAAACTGAATTGTTTTGAAAAACTTTCAACTTTTGATCTTCGAAGAAAAATAGGTGGCTTTAAGCTCTTTCATTTAGAACAATTTATGAGTGACATTATTCTGAAAAAAAAAACCATATTGAGAAAATTGGATCAATAGATAAAAATTGTATTTAGCTGAAAAATTCGGTAATTAATTTCCACTTTCGAAACTAAAATCACTCACTTTTTTTCACGGACCTTTACACTTTCGCTGTTAGATAGTGGAGGATGGCTTCCTTTTAACAAAAGATATGAAGTGAAATGAACAAGAAATCACAAGTCAAACCGCGAAAAATGAAAATTGAGCATGATCAAATTTTAGACTTTTTCCAAAAAAACCAAAAGAAGTCCTATATAAGAGTACTCAATACGTTCATATTGCTCTTAACACCTGACAGTTGGAAAGAGTAATGAACGCAAGGAAGCTGAAAAAAACTGACTTGTTTTGAAAAATTTTCAACTTTTGATCTTCAAAGAAAAATAGGTGATTTTAAAGCTCTTTCATTTAGAACAATTTATGAGTGACATTATTTTGATTTAAAAAA